GGACCCGGTGGCTTAAAACTCACGCCGGGCGCGTGTGCGTGCGTGCCCAAGATCCTGAGAGGAGAATGAAGGAGAAGGGATTGCGGCGTGACCATCCCCCCTGGGGGGTGATTTCTTGCTTTCTGTCTCTATGTCTCTGTCTGTCTGGCGAGCGCACGCGCCCTATAGCGAAAACCTCTCAAAAAAAAAAAAAAAAAGAAGCACTTGTTTCTGAAAGCTGTAATTGTGCCATATACTGTTCTTTGAAATTCTGGAGAATTCCAGCTCACTAGAACTGCGTGTCATGGTGCCCAAATAGTCCACTCAACATGCCACAAAAGAAGGTTATTTCCCTTAGCAACCGCAGTTCTTTTTGGCAAGGAAAGGAGCAGTTACATTTCAACCAAAGTTAACTGGCATGTTTTCTGTGGTAGTTTTGTAATCCAGAGACAACCCCCAGGTCAGTTGCCTTTTAATCTGCCTTTGCTCGGACCTCATTTCCTGCCGTTCTCCTTGTTCTCTACTATCTGATAATCCTGGTCTTTAGACTTCCACAAAATACCAGGTCCCCACCTGCCTGCAGGCCATGCATGGCACAGGCTGCACACTGAGCCTCCTCTTCCCCTTGTTCTTCCCTGGGATGGATCTACACCTTGGGTCCTCAGCTCAAGGGCCCCTTTCCTCAAGTGCCTCATAGTTTTCATACTTTACTTTTTTGACAGTTCTTAGAAAACATGTACACATGGGACCAGCAGTTGGTGTAATGGCTATGTCGCTGGACTCCCATGTAGTCGATCACGGTTTGAGTCCTGGACCTGGTAGCTTAAACTCACACTGGGCGCATGTGCGTGCGTGCCCAAGATCTTGAGAGGAGAATGGAGGAGAAGGGATTGCTGCGTGGCCATTCCCCCTGGGGGGTGATTTCTTGCTTCCTGTCTCTCTTTGTCTTTCTGGAGAATGCATGCTTCCTATAGCAAAAACCTCTCAAGAAAAAAAAAAAAGAAAGAAAAGAAAACATGTACATATATATGCACACATAAACACATTATGAAAATATTTATTTTTTAAATTTTGTCATAAGGTGTGAGCTCTTGCCAGGGAGGAATAGAGAGAGAGGAGAGAGAAAGAAAAAAAAAAAGAATGAAGGAGAAAATAAGAACTCATCAGGGGACCTGCAGTTAGCGTAATGGCTATGTCGCTGGACTCCCACGTAGTCGACCGCGGTTCAAGTGCTGGACCCAACGCCTTAAACTCATGCTGGGCACGTGTGCGTGGCTATCGCGTGCATATCCAAGATCCCGAGAGGAGAATGGAGGAGAAGGGATTGCAGTGTGGCCATCCCCCCTGGGGGGTGATTTCTCACTTTCTATCTCTCTGTCTCTCTATGTCTTTCTGGCGAGCGTAAATACCCTATAATGAAAACCTCTCCAAAAAAAAAGAAAAGAAAAAAAGAACTCATCCTCCAGGGGGAATGGCCATGCTGCAATCCTTCTTCATTATTCTCTCTGCATTTTGAGAGAAAAACACACTGACACACGTGTCCAGTGTATTTTTCAAGCCACCAAGTCTAGGACTTGCATCTCGCAGTCTGCAATCTGAGGCCCAGCCACTTAACCACCACGCCATTGGCTGGCACAAATATTTGATATTTATGTGCCCCACTGGATTACACACTCCATGACATTAAAATCTTTTTACTTTTTTCAATCCTATCTACAAAGCACCTAGCCTGGAAGGTGCTCGTAGACTGATTCCAAACAACAGTTTGCTGTGTGAACACCACAGTATCTGTAGGGGCCGGCCCCCACAGCAGCTGGGTGAGCCAGATCCCACATGGCTGACCACAGTTTGAGTCCAGACTCGGAGGCTTGAAGTACACACCAGGAAGATTATGGTATGATTGTGCCCCATTGCGGGAGGGGGTTCTCCCTCTCACACTTGTTCTCTCTTTCTCTATCTCTGGTGAGCACACATGCTCTTGGGAATTTAAAAAAAAAACCCACACACAATAGTGACTGTAAACAGTCAGACACAAAACAAATTAGACAGTCTTAATTTGAGGAGAAAAATCAATATGCATAGGAAAAAATATTCAAGAAAATGCATTAAGAAGAAAGGGAGCTCACCCCTGGTGGTGCATGCTGCAAAGACACTATTCCCCAGAGGCTGGGACCACATGGGTGGCCTGGGTTCAAACCCAGTTCAACCTAATGGCAGGACACAGTGGCCTGCAAACTCAGCAACTCGGGGAAGCTGGGGCCAGAAAATCAGGGGCTCCAGACTGGCCTAAGCAACACATGGAGACCGTATCTTTTTTTTAAGAGGGAAATTTTGCCATAGGGCATGTGTACTTGCCAGAGAGACAGAAAGCAAGAAATCACTCCCCAGGGGAAAGGCTGCACACTATCCCTTCTCCTCCATTCTCCTTTCGGGCATTTGGGCACGCATGCACATGTGTGCAGCATCAATTTCAAGTCACTGGTTGGGCCTTGATCCACAGTCAACTACGTGGGAGTCCAGTGATGTAACCATTATGGTATCTGCTGGTCTTGAGACCCCATCTTAAAAAAACCTGTATGGGGCCAGCTGGATGTACTGGTTAGGGTATTAGACTCCTACATGACTGGCCACAGTTTCAGTCCCAGACCTGGCAATGTGCTTTCTCTTTCTCTCTCTGGTCAGCACAAGTGTCCTATAGAAAATTAGAGAATAATAATAATAAATTAAATTAAATAAATCATTCTTGGAGGAAAAAAAGCTGGGAGTGGTGGAGCCCATCTGCAGTCCCATCTGGGGAGCTGAGGCAGGAGGATTTCCACACGGTAAGACCTTGTCTTAAAAAAAAAAAAGGAGAAAAATCGGGACCAGCAGTTAGCGTAGTGGCTATGTCGCTGGACTCCCATGTAGTCGACTGTGGTTCATGTCCTGGACCCGGTGGCTTAAACTCACACCAGGTGCGTGTGCATGTGTGCCCAAGATCCCGAGAGGAGAATGGAGGAGAAGGGATTGCAGCGTGGCCATCCCCCCTGGGGGGTGATTTCTCACTTTCTGTCTCTCTGTCTCTGTCTGTCTGGTGAGCGCACGCGCCCTGTAGCGGAAACCTCTCCAAAAAAAAAAAGAGAAAAATGAAGGGAAACCAAGTGTGTGTGTGTGTGTGTGTGTGTGTGTGTGTGTTTATTTATTTATTTATTTTTATAAATAAGATGGAAACACAATAAATTAAAATAAAAAGTAACTGGGACCAGCAGATAGTATAATGGTTACATTGCTGGACTCCCATGTAGTCGATCCCAGTTCGAGTCACAGACCCTGCAGCTTAAAATTCACAACAGGCGGGAACCAGCAGTTAGCGTAATGACTATGTCACTGGACTCCCACGTAGTCGACCGCGGTTTGCATCCCGGACCCAGTGACTTAAAACTCATGCCGGGTGCATGTGCATGCGTGTCCAAGATCCCCAGAGGAGAATGCAGAAGGGATTGCGGCGTGCCCATCCCCTCTGGGGGGCGATTTCTCACTTTTTCTTTCTGTCTCTCTCACAAGTCCACGTGCCCTCTCTAAAAAAATAAATAAATAAGGGGCTGGCAGGTGGTGGTGTGGTTAAGGGCGCTGGACTCCCACATGGCTGACCATGGTTGGAGTCCTGGACCTGGTGGCTTGTTTTCTCACTTCCTCTCTCTCGCTCTCTCACTCTTACTCTGTGCCTCTCTGGTCAAATTAAAATAAATAAATAAAATTAAAATAATTAAAAAAAAAACTAAATAAAATCAAAGATAAACTACGGAAGGGTAGAGAGCATAGTGAACTTTTCAAAATTTTTGTTTGACAGGACCAGCAGGTGGTTTAATGGTTACATTGCTGGACTCCCACGTATTTGACCGCAGTTCAAGTCCGAGGCCAGCAGCTAGTGGGACTGGACACAAGGTCAGTAGCCCAAAAAGAGTGCTGAGTGTTTGCTGCACATGCTTAAAAATGCAGAGAGTAATGCTGAACTTAAGGGATTGGACATAGATTCTCTGGTCACTGAGCACATTGAGGTGAACAAGGCACCCAAGATGCGCCCAGGTAAGTACAGAGCTCGTGGGTGGATTAACCCATACCTGAACTCGCCCTGCCACATGCAGATGAACCTCACTGATAAAGAGCAAACTGTTCCTAAACCAGAAGAGAAAGTCACACAGAAGAAAAAGATATCCCAGAAGAAACCGAAGAAACAAAAACTTACGGCAACAGGAATAAAGTCAGCATAAAATAAATGTAGATTAAAAATAAAAAACAAACAACTCGCCCACGGTGTTTGCGCCTGGGCGCCCAAAATCCCAGAGAGCAGACTCTTGGGAGAAGGGATTGCAGCTGGCCCTCTCCCCCGGAGGGGGGTGTGATTTCTTGCTTTCTGTCTGTCTCTCCTGCCAGCGCTTGTGCCCTATAGCAAATATTTCTCAAGAAAAAAAAAACTTTTGATTTTTGAGCCATTAGAATGTATTACCTAATCAAAAATACCAAATGTTTGCCTGGCAGAAATCACACTAAACCATTAGCAGTGATTATTTTTAACGGTGAGACTAAGGTTTTGTTTGCTGCTTCTGCACGTTTAGATCAGAAAAACGACACACTTTTTAGGAAGGATCTTAAGCGACCTCCTGGGACACTGCGTCGCGGAGTCGGGAAGAAGGAGGCCGGAGGCCGAGGCTAAGCCACGTCGGGGACGGGGTGAGCTGTCCAGGTGGGAGACCTGACCACAGCGCGTTCCGGGCTGCGGGCAAGGAGCCACGAGGAGGGACAGGTTGCAAAGCTATCAGAGGGCTGGCGAACAGACGCCTGGCCCCAGCGACATCAGTCGGTAGGCCAGGCGCGAAGCAAGCATGTCCCCACTCGCTCGGAAGTACCAGAGGGAAAATGGGAGACAGAGAGGCCCGCCAGGTCCAGGCTCCCACGAAGAAAGCGAGCGCA